TTCATTATGCCATCGGGGGGGGGGGGGGAAGTACAGTAATCCCCTTTATGTCTCTTGTAATTGAATCCAACCACGATTATAAAACATTGTGAGAATTTGAAGTAACTATTAATTGACTGCTTCCTTCATAATGAATTGGAATATCATCTGTTATAGACCAACTTTTTCACTTATTCTCTAACACTTCCAAGATGCTGTGGGAGCAATCTATACTTTAAAATGAATGAACCAACAGAATAAAAATCCTTTTGTTTCCCAAAGAGACTGTAAACTTTGCACTACGGTCTCATCAGATTTAGCAAAGTAAGGAGGACTGGTCTAAGTCATCCTTTGATCAAATCCTTGCTGGCTCCTAAGCTTGTCTAAGAATAGCACCTGTGCTACATTCATTAACAATSATAAAATTTCTCAGTATAATTAGAGGACACTGGAGCTTCCAGTTTTTTAACAGTAAGTGAAATTCAGGAAATAATAATCACAAAAACAACCTCCATTCAGAGAAACCATCACAACTTTTCAAAAGACAGAGGGCCAAGCTTTGTGCTAACCAAATGTCAAATTAAGTAAATTCATTCTTCTTAATGGAATGTGTCCTGGAAATACTTTCTTTCCCCATTCTCTTGGTTGAGGAGCAGAAGGAGAGCATGCTGCTCATTGCTTGATTTCCTAAACTATTTAATAGTGTTGCTATGATTGTTGAAAAGCTGCTATCATCATCCTAAGAGTGATTTCATCTGTAAGTGACTGAAGGAACATGAATTAAATGCCCTGGGCATTTAATGCCCTATTTCACATGCAACATCATTCTCTGCAGAGGAGCAATCACTTCCAGGGTGCACTGTRGCAGCTATGAAAGAATACCCACTAGCTGAGCCTCATGCATATTGTATTTTGGGAACAGTACCTTTTGGATAGACCTTCATAATTTATCACATCATCTAACTAGGAGTTCAGTGGTGCTTATGTGTCATCTTATTTTGACATGCAGCCCCCAACAGAAGAGTATGGATGCTCTCTGTCAAAATCAATGGCAAAAGACTCACTTAAATCTATCAAAAACAGACTTGGGCCTTTAATCAGCTTACAGCAACGATTTAGGATGACTGACCTCCCTCCAAGATTTTGGGYCAGGCAGCAGCTTACACAATTGGAACAGCTTTTATCTTGTTTCTGCARCTGAATATASAGTCACTCTGCTGGAGCTATGATGRAGGGCAAGCTATGACTGGTATTGATCATTCCCACTTAGGAAGCACTCCAAGTCTCTATTCTGCTAATAAAAACAAATGAAAATGTCTTATCAAACACTCTTATCWCTTTGCTCTAGAGCATTAACTGGTTTCACAAAAAATAACTTCCCAAAGGAATAATTTTRATGATGACAGTGTAGCATTAAAATGATGCTAGCACACAAATGAACAATACAATATGATGATGCTATATCAAGTGGAAAATGCCCCCATTAGAGTTAACATCAATTTACATGGTTTGCCTCAGGGTGGGGATATCTTCCRGAGCTTCTGCTTACTTTCCCAATTTTTTAGCTGATCCATAAGCAGGATTTTGCACAATCCTTTCATTTAAAGCACAAGAATGGATACTGAAATCTTCACCACAGCAGGTTCATCTGCAAGCATGATTGCCTCATACAGACATAGTAAATTCAAACACACAGTGATACGTGCAAGGGAACATCAACTTACAATGTGTGCACATGAAAATAAATTGGTATTTTACTCCCTTTCCTGATTTCAATATGAAACTCTTGAAAAACACCACGGATTTTTAAAATAACCATTATGCTTATTTAAATGTATGTTCAYGTTGCATTTCTTCACACTACTTGATATGGCAGATGTAAAGATAGAGCAGTCGAGGCACGTTATCAGAGAAGACCAGGTCAATTCAATTAGCTGGGTTATACTTCCATCCTGTAATTAATTAGATCACTTACCATACATTTAATGCAAATAGAAGTGCTAATTATTTCTGCTGTGATCTGCTGGTCTCCTAGAAAAAGCACATTGCTCCAAGTTAGCAGCTTCTATGCAGCAAACAACCAGCTATGTTGCAAAGGAGGACAGAAATAATCATTCCTGATACTACTGACTACTGCAAAAATTTACCGGACAGGGGACAAAAAAATAGAGAAGAAGTTCAAGACTCTAAAACAAGCCAATTTTTTCAGTGTTAATATAAATAAAAAACTTGYGTTGAACTTGGTCTACTAGAATATTAGGATAAATTCTCATTGAAACAACGCATTCACAACCACTTCCAGCTTGGGTCAATTCTGTTAATGATAAGCCTGGMCCCATGGGCATGTCCCCTTGACAGGATCAAGGCTCATGAAGCAGCATAATGCTGTACAAACTTTACCTTTGAGCTGCAAAGGTCACCTGCAAATAGCACATGAAGAGACCACAGAAATACTGGAGAAACCTCATGCTATAAAGGAGTAAATGAAGAAAGTAGCAAGATGTGAAGGGGTGACAGCAAACAAAGCTGTGGGAAAGTCAAGGTTAATTTCAAATGAAGAAGTGATACAGAAGCTTGGGTTCAGGAGTATGTCATATATTTTATAGTACTTTTGCACCATTTTTTTAAAATTGATTATTTATAAACAGAGATTCTGATAAGAAGRAAAGATACTTAATATGATGCATACCCTGTAATTTTTAATTTTTTTTTCCAATGCTGGAAGAACTTCACATGGAAATACAATCTCTGCTCAGCAAATTTCAGTTTATGGCAGTAAATTACTCTTTACAAGCAATACAAGAATATTGAAACTTGTCTCTAATTCTCTCTGTACAGTAAATGCTGAAGAAGAAAAAATAACATGACATTATAAAGCAAAGCCCAACCCCTTGAAAGTAGAGAAATGTTGTTTTTCTGTGTCACACTTGAATAATAGTTGGACAGAAGAATGACTCTGGGGCTGGAAACCACAGTCTTAGTTTGAACTCAGCATTGTGCACAAAGCCCAAAAGAGCAGCAGCGTCCAGACCTCCAGATTTTGGTTATCAAGAGTAGTAATTGCTTTAATCTGTTTTTCTAAAATGCAATGGCAGARAAACAAAATTAAAGAAAATTGGACAATAACATTCTGAAAATAAACTCTACCAAGAAAATAAACTTTAGAAGTCTTTAGCTGTTTAACAGAAGAATATATACTCTATGTTAGGATTTATTTTAGAAAACATATTTCAAAGTTCTAGATAAAAAGATGCCATGACTCACAGCATTATTTTCCAAATGTCACAAAATTCCTTTTAGATCTATTCTCAATAAAATTGTCATTTAAAATTAATTTTGTCTGTGAGCCACTTAACCATATAAAATCCTCCTTGAATATATAAATGTGCAGATAGGCTGCATATTTCAGCTGACCAGAAGAGCTGACCAGGCATTACTGTAAAATCTGGYTCAGAACAGTCTGACTGGCCAGCAATCCCTCTCTCAGCCTCAGAAACATCACTGATGAGAACCAAACATATGGCCCCCCCAAACTAGCAATATTTCTGTACATTCCTTACACCTCTCTAGCTTCCAAACTTCCTGTAATTGGCCTGATTTTTTTCCAGCCAAAAAGAAATTTCTTAAAAATTCAAATTACATTTGAGAACTGCTAAGAATTACTTTACAATATTTCCTCTTAGCCTGCTGCATAAATGACTACATTTCAATTACTTCCTTCCTCTGAATTAGATGGACTATTTGGCATTGGGGGAAACTAAGTAATTTTTATTCGATGCAACTTTTAAATCTTGATGATACCATCAAATACTTCAATTTAGCACAACATACAAAGAGGTCATATATTACTACTATACACAGATCTACCTTTTTCTTCCTCCTCCCCTTTATTACCAGTATATTTTCTCCTTTTTGTAAAACTATTCTCATGAGACCTTATTTTACAAAGCATGGAGCAGAAAAGGCAAATAAGACTGTTTCTGAGCATTACATCTTAAAATGACAGCAAATAACTTAAATAAAAGTGGATGATATAATTGACCTGAGTGCCTGCTTGTCATTTACCCTAAAGTCCCAACGAAGCCAGGCAGTTCTGAGCACTGGGAWCACATTCAATAACTGGAATCGTGACAGCATAATATATTTCACAGACATCTCATAGTAGTGTACTTTCCAGCTTTAWTATATGTCTATAGTTTAGGATTCTTTGGTCCAGGATTCTACACTGTTGTAAGTTTTTCTGCAGTAACTGTGCCTGATTTTTCTAGATTCCCTAGTAGCCGCTGACAAGAGGACAAAAGAAGATTTGAGATCTATAGTTAACGTTTAAGCCTAATAGCTACAGTAATTGATTAGTTCTCCATGGATTTTCTTTAGTCACTGAGGTGTGTACAGAGACCACAGGAGCTTATTTTATTGTGTCATTTTCGCAGCGCAGCAGGGTACCTTGACAATGGGTTGGATACCACCCTCCTGACAAAAACCACGGGGGAGGGATCAGAGTGAAGAAAACTGAGAGAGCAAAATCACTCCATAACAAGCAGGGGGTAGGACTTTTCCTCCCTGTGAAAGAAGCAAGATTTCTRGGCCCACAATTTGTAGATATATTTGAAGTCTCCCAGGGGACAAAGTCATTTTTGTTRGGAGTTACAGCTCACTTCAGTCCTAGAGGAATCAGAGGCTTTACCAAGTTCCTTGACTACTGAGCTCTATTTAATAACTAACACATTGAAAAAGGCTTCTTGAAAGAGTTATATCATTTACTGAGCCAGAGTAGGACCTGAGGGTTAAGCAGCAGATGCACAAGTGGTGCAAAACTGGTTTTGTTTTAGGGGTGGATATAAAGAAGTTGAAAGTAGATATGGAGATTATGAAGGTTGAGGCTTAAGACAACCAGAAAAAAAGTCTCCTTATTATGAATAAATCATGCTAGCATTGACCACAGCAACTGTTACAACCTCTTCTGAAACACCACAAAAGTGAGTTGGAGGGACCTTCACAGCAGCTGGAACTGGAGGGACCTTCACAACAGCTGGAACAGGAGCTGGTGAACCCCTGTTGAGGGAACCAAAAGGAGTGTGGGATGTGGAGATGGCTCATGCACTTGTATCTACCACAAACTAAACTGGGGCTGTCAGTGCATTTTGGAACTGCCATCCAAGAGACTGCATCTTGTATTTTGGTATGAGCTAGCAACAGTCAGGAAAGGCCTCCTTCAAATGGCTGTTTGTACACTGCATCCAGGTCTCACTAATCTTCAGTTCCAAGTATATTACAGGAATATCTCAATTCACTCTCAGAAACCCAGACACGAGCCTGACTCTTCCAAACTCTAGTTCCTCTCAGTTTGCCTCAGTTGTTGGGTGCTGCATTTCAGGCACCTTGCATGGACCTGACCTTCMGAAGGTGAATACTCAGCACTTTCTAAGTACACAACACTCAAAGCAGCCTCCAACRGGATTAATAAAAATTAAGGCACTCAAAAATTGTTAGTTACTTTTGAAAATCTTACCCAAAACTAGAATTGTCTGATTGACAAGAAAAATAGAAATCACAGGTAACCATAAAAAGATCCATGTGTTGCTGTGCTCAAGGTACTTTTAGAGTGTAAACTTTATTCCCATTCATAGCAACATGGTTAATGGCAAAAGGGTTTGCCCTTTATGTCCAGTAACCATATTTTACTCTGTATCTCTAGAGAGCAGGAGTCTGTATAAGCAATGAGAGAGGGGGACAAAGAGGTGATGGATTACCAGTTTTTCTCCTGGTGGTGAATTCAGCTGTCTGGAATGGTGAATGTTAATACAGGAGGAAACGAGATAGTTATCTTTTGTCAAAACTGTGATATAACAAATGTTAATACAATCTCAAAGGGAGGTGCAGTTCAGAATATCTTTTTTAAAAAGACAAAACATATCCGGAAACAAAGGTTGCTTTTAACTATGTGTAAACAGTCTTTGATCAATCAACTGAATCCTTAGAAAGGGATGATATATCTCAAAACACAACACAACACCCCTACCACAGTTGGGTAAGTATTTTAACTTTGCTCAGTTTGCTCAGGATGCTAGTAGTTGGCAGGGAGACCCAACCAAATTATTAGAGTGGAACTTCTTTGTTTTCATATAAATTAGCACAGTCCTCTCCTGGAAGCTGCAATCAGTACAAAGTAAAATGGATTGGTACTGCTGAATTATAAATGCATCTGGCATCAGATAGAAATTCCTCCTGAGGGTTGTCTTCAGAGTTCGTGGCTTTTTGTTTCCTCTGCTGCATCCTCAGACAAGCCTGTAAAGCAAAAAGAAGATGCTTAAAAATTCAGTGCATTTGGCAACTATATGCACTATACTGTTGATTCTATCAGTTTGTGAAAGCCTTGGTTATAGCTGGAGGAAACAATTTATTACATGCAAAACAGTTAGGATAAAAATGCTTAACTTGCAAATTCAAGCACTCGCAAGTTCAGAAAATACATAAAATTAAGGCAATAAGAACAGTTTCACATAGCATGGATGATGACCCAGTACAAAATTATGGACTACTTTTGAATCAGAAAAAAAATACAGAGAAAAAAAAAATTAATAAAAAGACAGAATTGGGCATACGATCTGGGACACAGTTACTCCAATCTACTTGCATTTATCCTGTCCCTTTTTCTGGAAAAAATGAGAGTACAAGTTGCAAAACAACAGAAAACTAAATGCACACTCTCATTAACAAGGATATATACATTTATATATATCTATATGTGAATATATCTATCTATATCTACATGTATCTATCTAGATCCATATCTATCTCTCTCCATATATACAACTAAGAGCTTGGGCAAGGGGAAAATAGCCATACTCTTGTATTGAAGATAACTTCTGCCTTAAGCCAAGAAAAGAAGTTTCCTATTTTCAAATATTAGTTCAAGAGATTAATCAGTCTTGGATAGGATAATAATCTTTGCAATAATGAATGTGACAGAATTTGAAAAGTGGGTAGAGACTCATAAAAAGTTGCTTTGAATAGCTAAGAAGAAAGAAAACAGTTTATAATCACACAAATTTGTATACACACATACTTGAATGACTTAAATTAAGTGGCTATTTCACCCAGCAGCTTCTTACATATGCACTCTTAGTTTAGATTGAAAATTATTTAACTTAAATCCTTTTCTAATTAATTTAACCAATCCAAAATAAATTGGCACCATCTCCAAATAATATATGAGTAACAATAACATAACACACATTTTATGAGGTTTGTTTTGATATGTTTTTTTCTTTCTTCTCTGAAGAAGGCTGAAATCCTCCAACATACAATGAAACGAGCCAGTAGGTCAACAGAATTAAATTTGAGCATCCAATGTTCTAAACCAGAGCCACCAGTCTCCTGTCAGCCTAACTGCTTTCACAATCATATTCACACAGAATTTAGCACCAACAACCTATGTAAATTTAAATCAATATGCTTTCATTTAGATCTGTGCAATTTCACATGATCAAAACCATGTAGATTTATTTTCCAGTTTCTAATTTACACTTCCAATATTTATGGTGCTTGGGGATTTTAGTATTTACAGTGGGTTTCTTGGGTGATGGTACTAAACTGAACAAATGTTCTCTTAAGCCTTGAGATACAAAAGACTACAGCAGTAAAATTTCAGCAACAGCTGGAAGCCAAAAGCCCCAAGGGCCTAAGAAGTTCCCCTTACTGAAGCTGCTACTTTTTTTTTTTTTTTTTTTGTTAAGGACAATTAAAAGTACCATGTTAAGAACTGAGCTGGGTTTCCAAAGGTCAGCCCTCGAATGGCAGTGCTTTTGTTCAAAGCTCTTGTCACGCAGCACACGCTGGGATGCCAAAGGGACCAGCAGCAGGTCCCATCTTATTTCATTTATGACCATGGGGAAGGAGTTAGGTAAGCACGATAATGAAACTTGTGGATTATAGGAAACGAAGATGAGTTACAAATTCTAGGGAGGAGAAAGAAATATTCCACTAGGACTAAGGGATTAACAAATATGAGAGAAGATAAGAGGAGATACCGCTTGAAATGCACCATGGAAATAACAAACTTTAACTTTTTCCACTGTGCTACTTCTACAGGGCTTTTCTCAGCAAGTATCTGTGTTTAAATTATGCACTTGAAGTGAAACACCCACCACAGCTCAATGCAGTGTAGAAACCACTGCAATGATACAGTTAATGCTGTTCCTGACTACACAGCTTTGTTGAGCTGGTAACAGCTCTGCATGAAAAAAAAATACCAGAGAATATCTTGCTTTTCCACAGTAATCAAGAAAAACAGTGCCAGAATTATGAAACTGGCTGCTGCACACTCCTATAAAAGCTGGACACACACACAATCCGAATGAGAAACAGAGAAAAGGTGTTATGACTGTGGCCAGCTCTTTGTACCAAAGAAAYTGGTACAGAAACTGATGCATCAGAAACTGATGCAGATTTACCAGAGACCAAGAGTCTACCAGCCTGTGATTAGTGTTGCACACTGAAGCCATGACACTGCCACTGCACAGGGCCCTCAGCCTCCCTGTGTTTGAGGACTGGCTGGCTACAGGACCCCTCAGGAGCAGAACAGAACAGAAATTAAATAGGAGAGGTTTACAAAAATATCTGAGGGAAAGAAAAAAAAACCTCTCCATGAGAAGGCTACAGTATCCTAATACACTTTTTTTCCTTTGTTAGGCTGAAAGCATGGCCTGTGAAAAGTGTTATTATGAACTTCTAATATAAAAACAATTCTTTGAGCCAAAAAATAGTGCCCAGTGCCCAAGACATGGCCTTCAAAATCTGTTACTTCCCTAACATTGACTTCTTACAAACAACCCTTGTGTCTATTTCTACAAATCGCCATGCCAAAGAGAACCATATGAATGGTTACTTTCAAGCTCATGAAACACCGTGGATCTCCTAAATCTAACACATTTACTGTAATTACTGGCTGGCAGAACTGAAGTCACAGAGTGGGATTTACCTTGGTTTCACACAAGTTTGCACAACAGCACTGTACATGGCTATAGGGAACCTGGAATATTTCTGCATGGATCAAAGGAGTACCACATGAGTAAACTGTGGGAGAGGTGAGCTGACTGGTGAGGTAAAGACTGCACCTATTTTTGTTGTGCAACTCCAAAATGGGAGGCAATAYAGAATCAGGAAAACACACAAGGCAATAACCAGCCTTCCCACCTCTACCTTGAATTTTTTCCAACTTGCAATATTTATTAGTCATGTAGAAGAACAACATAAATGTCACATTGCTCTAACTGGCACATTCTATGTTATAGCAGATGAGATAATTAACATCAGAGAGTTTTCTCATTAGCATATTCTGACAAGCTTAGACAGATCCTAAAAAATACAGGGTATAAATACAAATTCTGAAGATTAGGCTTCTTTACCTCATTTCATCAGAAATAAAAACCTTCCTTTCATCTTCATATGCACCATTATGAAGTTCACAATGTTTCATTTTATTCAGCATCCAAAAATCCTATCATAATAACACTGGTCTGAGCACATATACTTAGAGAAATGTATATYAGAAGGTTTAGTCTCTGCTTATCAGCAGAGCTACAAACTGGGAAGCTGCTTCTGTAAATAATCATGGTGTATTTTAACTCTGCAGCAGGCAACTGCAAGCAACTCCAAGAGGTTTTGGAGTTCAGTTTTCAAAACAGAGCCAGAATACATGATTATATCAATATCCTGATTAGTAACATGAGATTGAGCATATCTGACACCAAGAAAGTCACTTAAATCCCTCAAATGTTGTGTATTTGTCAGTTAGCACCCTCATGAAAGCAGCTTCTATAAACGAAGACACACAATACTTCAGTCATGTTATTTACCTCTTCAAAAGCATTACTTAGCACATATCATTGAGTCACAGAAAGTTCATTTGTAGATCAAAATGTACTTTTGAGGCTTGAAAACCAAAAGTTCAAAGAAAATCAGTTACAGTGGCAGAAGTACCAAAGACAGCTGAAAATGCCCAACTTTTCTGGGATTATTATTCATGCAGTTAGAAGAAAAAAAAACCCAATGACCCAATTAAAGGGAGAGATGGTATTTGAGCATGATGGCAAAGGGAGGAGAAAGAATCATTTTCTGTAGTCATAAATTGTTCACACTAAGCATGATGGTGCAAGGTTTAAAGACATTAAATAATTAGGCAATGGAAGAAACTACCCAGGGAGGTGGCTGAGTCAGGGACATGGTAAGTTTGCAGAGATAGCACMGATGAAATCCTAGTGGGGATTAGTGAAAAGGAAGATACACAGGTTTTGAATTGGATGACCTAAAGGATCTTCTCCAATCCTATCATTTATGCGGCGATGATTCATCCTAAAGAGAACATTTTGGACCCTTATGAATTACTGGCTGAATTTCCTGGATACTATTGTACATTAGTCTACTCTAAAGCATGCATAAAACTAAGTCAAAGTTGGCTTTGAAGTGTTTGATCTACAGTATCCAATACTTCCAGCCTCTTTTTCATAAAGTGACTCAGAAAAGAGCTGTTATAACAAGACMAAAGTTATTTTGAGTTCAGATTAAGTTAGAAAAGGGAGGCACCCTGTTCTTCAGCTATTCCCACCTAAAAGAGGAAAAAAACCCCACTCCATCTCATGGACTAATGGTTAGTATTGCTATTTCTAGACCTGACATACGACAGCTTTAGAACAAACTACAGCTTTAAAGTAACTGTTTTTCATAAAATTTTGGATCCAAAACGAAATGTTCCAAATGACCAAAGTTAATAGCTTTTTGCCTTTTTGTTAACAAAAGATGACAGATTTTTCCCAGCACCTTTTAAGTCATATTTCTGAAAATCATATTTCTTTTTTTAAGAAAGCCCATCTATTCATCACTAATAATTTTCTTTATCATTATAAACTGCAGGAGGAAACATACACAGCTGCCTTTTTCTTAGTATTTAGCCTTCATTCTGTAAACACAATCCAACGGGCTTTGAAGATTGCAAGTCTTCTTTATCAAGTAGACACAATTTAGGCGGATTGCAAAATGGAGCATTCTAAAATCAACAAGCTACAAACTATCCTGTTCTGATTTAATGGGAGAAACTGGACTTGATTGGTATTCTGTATCACTTCGACCAGGCTAATAAGCTGAAAGGGGCCTCAGCATTGTTTCCCCAAGTCACCAGTGAGTCACTGACCACTGCACACATAATTTAACAAGGYTCCAATTTTTGTATCAGAAAGTGGAGTGATGGTAGCTGAGTAAGTGGGAAGCAAGGCTGACTCATTCATTAC